AAGAGGAAAATGGATTACGAGTGATACGCGAATGAAGGCAACTTTATGACGAGGAAATTATATTAAAAATCAGTTACAGACAAATTTGCGGAAGTTTTACAAAATATTTTACTGGGATTTATATTTAGCAATATAGAGTAAAGCTCAGTAATTTTTCTTCTATTGATGATGCTGTTATATTTAAGATATAATTCTATGATAATGAAAAATTGATATATATTCTATTAAAAAGATGTATCGTAAAAAAAATTCAACAAAGGTTTCAAATACAGGGTATACAGAAATCGTCAAATATTGTTTAAAGACAGACATCTCCAATCTCCCGCTTTTTTTAAATAAAAATTTCAATTTCAGACAAAGCAATTAATAAAAAAATATTTTTTGCGAAATAATCTTGAGGAATTTAAATAAATTATGGAAATATTTATCAATTAATATATTTTTCAATTAATGTCAAATCAGTTTCAAGAAATATTTAAAACTTTGTTATAAAAATATATTATACAAAAATTAAAAATTATAAGTATTGAATTATCTGGGAAATTTTATCAAAGAAAAATCGATACTAAAAAGCTATCATCCATTTCATATTGAATTTTAGACATTCTGCTTAATGCTTTGTAAGAATTCTGGAGCTAAAATATGGGATATAAATTATATGAATATAAATAGATATGTGGATATAAACTACAGAGTTCTCGATCATTCAAGTTATATCAGGATAGGCAAAATATTCTTCTTTAATTTTATTCGTTTCAGAATTGCTATACTTCAAACATAATATTATGTTCAACAGAAAAGTAACTTTGCAACTGTAAGATTTTTTAATATGATTGGTATATATATTTAGATCCAATAAAGAACTAGGGGCAAGATATATTCATCATATCAAAGAATCTCACAACAGTTATAAAATTTCTTTTTACTGTTGAATAATGTGTATTGTGATCTACTATAATTTAAGTAAGTATCATGACTCTGTTTACCAATGATTGATCGATGAATATGATGTTCTATGAATCAGTTGCCTCTTTCAGTTCGCGAAATCTGGTGATGGTCTGTCGCGCAATCTTAGAATGTGATATTGCCTGATGACACCCGAGAAAATCAACAGTAGATTCGCGATGACTCTTGTAGATGAACTTTTTCTATTTCTATCACTCGATATCACTACCTTTCTCTCTTTCATCCTGATCTTTTACAAACTCGTCTTGAATAAATCACCAGACCATCGCATCGGCACCGGCATCGGTACCGTACCGTACCGTACCGCACCACACCACACCGCACCGCATCGCATCGTATGGCATCGCACCGTACCGTACCGTACCGTACCGTACCGTACCGTACCGTACCGTACCGTACCGTACCGTACCGTACCGTACCGTACCGTACCGTACCGTACCGTACCGTACCGTACCGTACCGTACCGTACTGCACCGCACCGCACCGCACCACACCGCACCGCACCGGATCGCACCGCATCGTACCGCACCGCCAATACCGCTTTCTCTCGCTACTGCAAACTGCTTACAGCCCCCTGCTACTCCGCTCACGGCTTACTCTCAGCTACCCCATCATCGGCTACACCCGCGCCACTCCTTTCCACCGCCTGTGGCACCATAAAATCACAACTTAGTTATCATAAAAGAAGGATATTATATCCATATGTGAGAGTAATTTTCCCTACTTTTTATGAGGCTGCAATGATACAAGTGCAAATAGTTCGATAGGAAGAAGAGGGACATGTTACAATCAAAATGGATTAACATATTTAATTGTAATAGATTGATTTGATAGATAATTAGGTAGGTTTCATTGTTAATGTTTTATGTATTAATTTATAGTATGATATATTCACGCAGACAAATCTATAGAACATAAATATTTCATGCATATGTGTATCCTGGCGAAAATAAAAATTGGAAAATAAGTCAAATGTAAAAAAACAAGAATAACAGAAGCTTAAATGACAGGAAGTATAGATTGAAACATGGAAAAGATGTTAAAAGAAGCGTTTTAAGAAATAAACACTTCTCTTACTTTGCTGTTCCAATTTATGCTTTATAGAATTTTCATTTATGTTCCTTTTACTTTCTTCTTACATCCGATTCATGTTCTAATCTTTATTTTCGCTTTATGTCTAATTTATGTTCTGGTCTTTATTTTCGCTAAGGCATATAATCCCTATATCAAATTTTCACTCCATAATAGTGCTTAGATATATAAATTATTTTTGTATATAAACTTTATCTTTTGCATTCAAAAATATTTTACATTTATATTTATTTAACATAAATATTAATTTAAATGTTACAAGTATTCATAACAGATTAAAGAAATACCAAATATGATAGCACTTTGCTTTCTATGTCGAAGAGTCAAGCAACCTGATTGTTTGTATGATTTTATTCATTATAAGAACATTACTCCAAAGATTATGAAAACAAGTTTTAATTTAATAAAATCGCTTTATATTATAATGATGCACTTGTAATTATAATGATGCACTTGTAATAAATCCGAGCATATTGTCAATTAAGTCTACTGAATTCTTGTAGTGATACTGAGTGTTGTTATGATTCAAACAATAAAAACAGCACAATCGCGCTGCATAACATTTAAACAGTTAATATTCAATATGTAAACTATTTCGTAAAATAATGTCTAACTATAGATTGTAAAACAATATCGTTTTGATTGCAACAATTATATAAAATACATATGATTAAATTCGTCGCGAATAATGAATTTAATACCTCACAGTAAACCATCTCTATCATCCAAGGAACAAGCTTCATGTCTCCTAAATTTCAAAAAGATATAATTTCAAGAGCTAGCTAATCACCAGTAGTATATAGGTTTATGTTTTTATTCTTACATTTAAAAGAAACTTAATGTAAACTAATATATTTTGTTATATATTTGTATGTATGCGTCATTGATTTTCTCGAGATGATTAGATAGAAGATGGCATAGAAAAAATTTCAATAAATTCTCTCTAGAGGAAAAAAAAGTTCTACTATTGTTAGCAGAACTTTTTCTGCTATTATAACCTTGTTGCAATGGATACAAAAAAATAATATATGCATTTTTAATAGATACAAATAAAAAGAAATAAATTAATTATCAAAATTAAAGGGATTTTACTTATAATATTTTAGTTTATTTTTAATTTCATTAAAAATGCAGTTACTGTCTTTTGCATTCATTGCAACAAAGTTTAACAACAATAGAAGTTTTTTCCCCTCTATAGAAAATGTTCATTGAAATTTTTATTTATAATAAAACCCCTCTAATTTTTTTTTAAATATACGTACAATCTGTCCAATTCATAGTTTAAGAAATTTTATAGAAAATTAACATTATTACATCATTCAAATTTCTACCGAACCATTTTTCTTTAATCATTCTTAAGAAAGTTTATGACTGCTTTAGAACATGATTCCTCTATTCCTATCTCCCTTCCCTCTTTTTCTCCTTCTTTCTTGGATAGTATAGATATAGTATACATATATATACATATATATATATATATATATATATGTGTATATTATCCATATATATAGGAAAAAGTTGCAGAATTTTGCGCACACAATGTTCAACAGCTTTTTCCTAAATATCATCTCTTGCAGCCATCTCTTGCAGCCTTACAGTAGTACATATTAGATTATTAAACGTACTAAAGAAAAATAAGTATTTTTCCTTTTCCTTTATCGTTTGATAAATTGTATCTAATATACAAAAAAATTATATTTATTTATTAAAAATATTTTATAACTAATTATAAAGACTAATAAAATAAAAATTTATCATTAAATTTATCATTATTTTCTTCCTTGCTAATAAAGCTAAATAAATAATGACTATTTCAATGTACACACGCACGCACGCAACACGTACGCAACGTCTGGAAAAGATTTACATTCTAGTAAAACCTACTGTATAGCACAATTTTGTTTATAATTATATTTTAATAAAGATATTATTTTGATGGAATTTAGATAGATTGAGCATTTATATATTAAAATCACAAAGAGGAAAAACAAGGGATACGTAGACAGTTCCATCTTCTCAGCAATTCACTGCGCTTTATTACAAATGAATCTACGATGTGCAGACTTACATGAACGATTGCCTATCAACGCAAAACTTACTTCTAGAAATGTATTATTGTATGAAAACAACCTAAAACTTTAAATTCATTCTTAGGTATTAAAAAGTTTCTTTGAATCTAGTACACATAATTAAAGATTATTTTTGACAAACATGATTTGCAAGATAGTTATCAAATGAGACAATTATAAAAATATTTTCCTAAATTTTTGATAATTTTGATGAAATTTTGACTTTTAAATTTTTAAAATATTTTAAAAATATATATATTATATCTTACAAGAAAATGTTATCTTATTTTTCATTGTATCAATTTCATATTAATGTCTTTTTATTTTTTTCTTACAATACTGCATATACTGCAAAAGAAAATTGTTACAAGAGCTATTATAAATACTTATTAAAAATTGTATTTGAAATTAACTGATATCTAGTTAAAGTAGTGACAATTTTATGAACATTAAATTAGTGAAAATGTAAAATATTATTTTCATTGAATGTCAATTGTAAATTATGTAATATAAGTCTTAGGGCGATATTTATAGTCAACTCTTATATTTAAAATCGTTTTAAGATTACATCTCAATCAATAAGGTAATCGTATAAGTTTACTTAAGACGATCTTAAATATAAAAACAGACTATAAATCTGGCCTTACATTCATTTCTTAAGTTTTAAGCCTTATTTAGAAAGATTTGTTTATAAAGTGTGTCTGTGTTATTTGTAGTGTTATAAGAATTTTCAAATAAATCTTATCTGCAAACAATGCTTGTCAATATTATCTAAAAGTGTATGTTACTAAGTTTTACCAGTGTAACACTGTAATATATTAGTGAAGAATAGTAATTTAGAAAATATTTAGAAGTATAAAATATTGTAAAGAGTTTTTTGCTATTATCTTGTAATATTGATCTTCGCCGATGAAAACTATAACGAATAATATATGTAGCTTTATAATTTTATGAAACATAATACATAATGTCTTATATCATAAAATTTACCAACTAAATTCCTTATTGAAATATGAAGAACAATCCAGAACTTGATCGTCACGCGAGCACAAATCTAATTAATCGATTTAGTTATGAACTGAAAGCGATGCTAAACGTTACACAACAAAACCGTGTATACAGCACGAATAAAGAAGCACATATAAGAAAAAAAAATATGTTATATAGAGAAACTAACCGCGTTTCCAAATTGATGAAATTACGTAATATCGATTCAAATAGATATATAACTGTTTAACATGTATATATTTAAATGATAGAAGAACATGAAGAAGCGTGCGAGTGTTGCTATAGAGGGTAATGGAATACCTTTTTCAATCTCAACATAGATTATTCGGCACTCGTTGGATAGGCGCATTCATTCTTATCCTTTCGCACACTCTTCGATTAGCTCAGTCCCTGAAAACATGCATAAAAAGCGATTAAAGAAAAATAACATAATGATTCAATATCATAAGAAATTTCATAGTTCTGTTGCCTGATAATAATTAGGATAATTCTAACCTGGATTTGGAACGACTATCTTTTTGTCTGTCTTGAGATTTGCTGCGCGAGCGTGATTTGCCGCGCGAGCTCTTACTGTCGGAACGAGAGCGGCTACGACTGCGGCTGTAGGAACGCCTACGATCTCTGTCGCGGCTACGCGATCTACTACGGGATCGAGATCGTGAACGCCTGCGATCTCTGCTTCTACTTCGTGATCTGTGAATATGTTCAGATAATAAAATTTTTCTTGTACATATGTACAACAGAAAATTGTAATTTA